GATTCGGACATGAAACTGCCTAAGAGAATTTCGGAGATGAGTCATACGAGTACAGGTTATTTCGCAAACACAAGAAAATGTTACCACATCCACTGCGGCATGTTCTGAACGGCAACACGAAGTTACTTTAAGTCACTGATAGTGCATAGACTGACCCGCAGGACACGATTATTCATAAATGAAGATGTGGAAGGACTCAGTCGTGGCTTGGATGGGCTGATGAATACCACGAAAAACCTGAGTCAGGCCAGCCGACGTCCCGGCCGGGTCTTGAACCGAGCATGTCCCAATTTCGAGTAGAGGCAGTTACCGCTACACCAACCCGTTCCGTGAATTCCTCTTAAGCCGGACGCATATGACTGTTTCTCTTAGCACTACCGCAACTAGGAACGCGTGGTCTGCTAAATGCGTTGTCTTCTGTACAAGTCGCAAAGCGTAAGGGGACAAATCCAGTCTCGTAGCGCTGTGTTTCTAAGGAGCTTGTCCTCCTGTTCCCAACCCTCCACACATCTTGTTCATTACGTTGTCCAAAATACGCTTCTTTGTCTCTACGGAAATGACGCTAGTCCGACAGAGCCCACCATAAGTTAAGTTCTTTTTGCGTTCTGCCAATCTGTAAGAGTTCCCTCGTGGCATGAGACCATCTCCATGGCAACTGATGGAGCAGTGTATCAGAGATGTGGAGCCGATCCCCGTGTTGTTTCTTGATTTACTTGATGACACTTAATTAGATCGCTTAACGTCGAGTGAGAAGACATTAAAAATAAACTTGGAATGACTTTCCAGGAACCATCTGGCATCCCTTCGTTTATTTTTCAAGACGAAGAAAATTATACACGAACACGACCCTCGTCATTTCTACATATTCACTGAATATCCTCACGGTCACCAATCAGAATCGAAAAACCCCTTTGTAGACCCAGAAGTAGACTGTTGCGAGGATAAAATTAAAACGACAGTGATTGTAGCTGTGGGCTGCATTCATCTCAGGCTAGATATCCTAAACATGAAAATAAACATTCGAAATCAACAAATGTATGAATTCTGCTTGCCACTTCCGCCACTATCAGCTTCTGAGAAGGGCTTTGCTCCACAGATTCAGTTAGCTTCTTTCCTTCTCTGGGGCACGCGGTAGTGGCGCAGTTGGTTCAGGCACTATGTTACAAACAGGAAGGTCCCGCGTTCGATTCCCGATGTCACTGAAACTTTCGATATCTAATCATTTCAGCCGCATTATGGCATTCGAGTCGACTCAGCCTCTAACTCAAACGAGTACCAGGAATCTTCCTGGGGTAAAGTTGCGGCCGGCACGTGAGGCTGACAACCTCACCGCCATCTGTAAGCCGATTGTCTAGAAGAAGTGAGAACTTCGACGGCCTGTTAGAGGGGTAACCTTCTGTCCCTGCCTACCACTTGCCTGGACGTGAAGAAAATCACGTAAATCTTGTTCACCACAGCCAATCTGTGGATTGAGACCCGGAGCGGCGTTATCACATGAATACCGTGAATCCAGAGCGCTGATCCCCCTGCAAAGGTCTGAGAAGTCTTCGGACAATGTAGGAAAAATTCCTGTTTTCGAAAACCACTGTGAATCCGGGACGTGTGAACATTCGACACTGTTGCCACTGCCCGTGGCCAATACGCAGCACGAAGAGGGCAGTATTACCCGTAGCAACAGCTTCTTCACAATAAACCGTTCAAACGCGACCTGGGAAAGGCACAAAAATCCAAGATGACCATGTAATAATTTCTACTCGTATTACACATTAGGAGCCAGGATAACGCAGTCGGTACAGCGGCTGGGTACGGGCTGAAAGGAGGGGTTGGGGCTCGAGTCCAGGTAGGGTGCAGAATTTTCTCTTCTCCACGTCGTCCAGACCGGTCGTGAGGCCCACCCATCCTCTTAACCAAAGGGTAAAGAGGCTCCTTCCCTGGGGGTAAAGCGGCCGCGGCGTGAAGCCGACCATTCACCCATCAGCCAACGCCGCGGTCACGAAAACATGGATCCATACATCCACTTCGCCACATGCCTTCACGGCACTGAGAACTTGGTAAGCACAGGAACAAGTTTACACATTGGACAGAACTTCACACGAGGTTAACGCTGCAGTGTCTCCTCAGGTAAATCCGGATACACCGATTGATATGGGCTCACACAAAATGGTCTCCACTTCATGCCGCAAGCGAGATAACAAGCTCCTCCTTGGCTTCCAAGTTCTCATGGCAATGCCTACGAAGATACTATCTCCTGCGATGAGGCGGCATACTCTGGTAGACGTTTACCGACTTTTCGGCGGTACGTACTGCCTTTATTTTCAGGATCGCTTGCTTCTTGTCAGCTATTTTCTCGGCATATTCTTAGATCCTAAAATACAGATGCATCATGTTCCTCCGAAACGTCCGTATGGCCCTCGTGTCACAACTCAGAAGGCCACAAATGAGAACGANTTATTTTCAGGATCGCTTGCTTCTTGTCAGCTATTTTCTCGGCATAATCTTCGATCCTAAAAGACAGATGCAGCATTTCCTCCGAAACGTCCGTATGGCCCTCGTGTCACAACTCAGACGGCCACAAATGAGAATGGCTTACAAATGTCAACCAACTGGTTAAGTCTGGGTCAGCCAAGACCGTGATGTCACTGGCAAGACGAGGAATGACTGTCATCTTATTATACACTTAACCCTTCTAACCTCTGATATTAGCGGGGCCTCCCATACACATATCAACACACCCATTCACGTCCTCGCCCTTCCAACAGCTCTAAGTGCATATGCCCCACTGAGCACTACGCCATGAAGATGAGGGAGTTTTTTTATTGCTAGTGGGGTGGGACTAAGTCCTTTGTACTGCGGCCACTTCTGGCCTATTGTACCAGCCCCAGATGATAGGTGAGGGCGATTGTGGAGCAATCGGTGGAATGAAGATTGGCAGGGGAAACCGAAGTACTCAGAGAAAACCTGCCCCAGCGCCACTTTGTCCACCACAAATCCCACTTGACCAGACCCGGGATCGAACCCGGGCAGCCGCGGTGGGAAACCAGCGACTAACCGCTTGAGCTATGGCGCGGCCCTATGAGGGAGTTAGGCACTACATTCGGGGCAGGAGCTCTCAGCACGCATTCCACAGAAAGCTGGGAGCTCCTATCCGTAGCTACGCAATGTCGATTTTCTGGGGAATATTTCACATGCACGGCCTAACGGAAGTTCACTCTACTCTCGTTATCGGGTAATTCACCGTCATCACACTGCAACACCCGCATTACGGAATTCGACTGTGCTGAACTCTTCTTGAGGAGCCAACAGTGCTCGGCACCTCACGTGTTCAGAAGAACATCCTCAGCCTCACCTATTTCTCTACGATCAATTTTAATATTAACATCCCTCCTACGTCATGGTCGTCCTAGTGCTTTCCCGCAGGTTTTACTACTAAAACCCAATGCGTACTATACGCCCTGCCCATCTGATACTCTTTCACTTGATCATTCCAATAATATTTGCCGAGAAGTTATGATGTTCTCGTTATGTTATTTGCTCCATTTCCTAATATTTCGCCCTCTCAGTTCCAGGTCTCAAACACCTTCAGTCTATGTTATTCCGTGACGTCGGGCAACAATTTCACACCCATACAAAACTACAGGTAATATGAGTTTAAGGTGTTTAGTACGCAGGCGTGAAGATAAAATATTCCCAATTTAATGGCAGCAACCATTTATCGAGTTTAATCCCCATGAATCAAATTCTGCGGCCGTTCCCAAACGCTGCAACTGTGCCACATTTTCAAAGTAGCCACCTTTATGTTATGATCTTGCCTTGCGTTTACTTCTAGACCAACCTCCGTCCTACCGTCCAACAGATATTCTGCAACAATTTTATTATGCCCATTTTTGCTTTTGTTTTCTAATATTCATGGCGAGGCGTGGGTTTCAACATGCCACCTTGTGAATACGTGTACTAGAACAGAACTCTAATCAGCACTGCATCACATGAGCCGACCAGGAATGGTTTCTGGTTGGTTCTTACGTCATTTCGTGATTCTGCATTAACTGCGCATGTCATTTAGCGTCGACTTATATGACAATGGTTTCATGAAGTATGAGGCCTGGCGAAGAAGCCGCCATACCCAGGAAAGAAATAATAATTTATCAACCTTAGAATTTCTGGCGTGGGGAGGGGAGGAATGCATATAGGATATTGGTGTGAAAGCCACAAGGAAACAGACCACTGGGAAGACCAATGCATAGGTGGGTGGACAATATTAAAATGGATCTGAGAGAGATAGGATGGGATTGTATGGATTGGATTCATATGGATCATGATAGGGACCAGTAGAGGGCTCTTGTGGACATGGGAATGAACCTTCGGGTTCCATAAAATGCTGGGAAATTCTTGAGTAGCTGTAGATTTGGCTTCTCATCAAGAAGGGCTCACCATCATAGGTAATGATTTCTGGTGTTAGTACACCAGAAACGTAAAACCCCTTCGTACCAAATGACGCCTCAATTTATTAAACATTTGTTCGGCTGCAACTGATAACACGCACGACTACCCCATACTTCTCTCTGCACACGGAATGCCCTCAATGCAAAGAGACGGCGACGCAGCCGCGAAGTCACGGTGCGAAGACGAGGTGGGGCAAAATCATAACCTACTCCGCCAAAAAAACCGAAATGAAAATGGAGGGCTTAGCGTCACACAAATATTTTTTACTGATCAATTCGAAACATGTTTCGGCCCATAAGCTGATTCTTGAGAAGTACACAAATAGCGTTAAAACGGATACAACCCAATTTTAACTATCAAAAATGTTATACTAGCACTGTAGTTTATTGGTTTTCCGTCACTACTTGTGTATTCAAGGATTCCCTGATGACCTACCTGAACCGAAATATGTGCGCTGTGTGACGGTATCCCCTCCAGGCACCATAAACAAGAAGCAACACAACAAGACAAAAGCCGAACCCTAATGGCTTATGCATTCATACAGACACATACTGTCTTACCCTTCTTGGACAGAGTGATCTTCTTCTTGCAGTCGGAGGCCACGGCGGGCATGGTGGCCGACTTCTGCTGCAGTGCGCGATGCTCGTTCTCCTGCTCTCCGTTCCTGACGCCATTTCTCTTCAACGTATATGACTTCAAATTGGGGCCCACAGTACCGTTTGCGCCCCCATTTTGCTCTTTCAGAATGAACATGGCAGACGCACTTTGGGCCGCTTTCGCCTCAGGAGCAGCACCAACCGCGGCAGATGAAGTCACTGTTTTCATTGTCTTTTTAATTACTCGGATATTTCAAAATATTCTGCACCCCAAGTTAAGGGCACGTCAATAAATCAAGTCCACCTGGAACCAACTGTTCTCGGTTAAATGTGGTCCGCGGTGTACTGACCTTCCCGTGCTCAGCAGAATGCACAGCAGAACTGGTCGAGTCCACTATCTGAAAAACGTGAATGGGTCCCACTCATGACGTCCTCCTCCCACAATGCAACTGCAACCACTGCCCCACCACAGTTCCCTTCACTTCTATTCACGCGTTACCCAGAAACTAGCTCTAAATCATGGCCCATACTTTGTTACACATTGTGACTCGTTGCTTTCCGCCTTAATTTATAGACAAGTTCACTCAGCGGTACCACGAAAAACTCGGGATGTTGGGTGGCGAACCGGCTATTCTGAGATTAATTAATGCATCTAGTGACATACAATACATATGTTGAAACCTGCGGTGAGGTAATAACCAGTTTTCTGAAACAAGGCCTTGTATCTAATCATTAAACGCTCCCATGCCGATCTTAAAGGTTGAACCGATAGTTCATGGTATATTTCTAACTAAATCCGTCGCTTAAACCCATCTGGTACTACATCTGATGTAATGCGGGCGATTCTAGCTGAAGGATTCTACCAAACGCAGTACATGAAATGCCTTGCGCTGAGAATAATACGTGCTGATAAATCAGCAGGAAATGAAATGTGGAAATTCTGTACGCCGGGACACAAAGACCTACAAATGAAACTGGG